GGGCGGTGGAGGTGCGGGCGGAGGAGGGAAGGGAGGCGGAGGCGAAGGGGGAGGAGGTCCCGGCGGTGGCGTCGGAGGCCCTGGAGGCGGTGAAGGAGGGGGGATCGAAGGCGGCGGCGGTAAGGGCATTGGCGATGGCGGGGACGGTGCTTGCGGCGCCGGAGGTGGTGGTGAAGGCGGCGGCGGCGCCGGGGGTGGCGGTGATGGTGGCGGCGGTGATGGAGGAGGCGGTAGCGGTGGCGGCGGCGGCGGTGACGGTGGCGGCATGTTGCCCTGTCGGTGCGCTTCATCCCCCACCCCATTTTCTATCTCTACGCCAGCGCCAGCGTCTTCGCCGGGCGAAAGTAATCTCGGAATGTTGTCTGGACCAATGACAGCTGCTGTCTCCGGAGTGGGCCCCTGCTGAAGTGGCGGCCCTGACGAGGCAGCGGAAGGGGCCTCGCCGATGAGCCCCTCACCGGTACCAGGGAACAGGCTGGAGATCACGAAAGGGTCCTCGGTGTCGAACGTGGGTTGCGGTGGCGACTGTGGCGGCTTGGACGGCACCGGGGAGGGGAGGGGAGGAGAGGAAATGGGAGGGGAGGACCAGCGCGAACAAGTAAGGGGCCTTGCATTACAGAATTGGGGCTTTGGTGGGGAAACTCGGGATGGGTAGAACGGCCCATCCCGAGTCGTAGTCTTTTTTAAGACTACGAATATTCTATGAAACGCAGGTATTGCTCTCACAGTTCTATAGGTCAACGTGCCGCACAGGCATGTTTGGCCCCCTAATCATCACGTCCGGGGGGGGGAGATATAGGGTCTCACCGGCGGCAACAAAGACGGCGCGTCGTCCAAACCCTCCACGATTTGTGCACTCACGCCTGCTGTGCGGGTAAACATGTAAAGCGTTCAACGGAACTTCCAACGATACAGTCTACGCACGCCGTTTTTAATGCTTGCACCCAAGCACCCAAGCACCCAAGCACCAGTACGCATGTCGCAGCGGCGGTGGGGGACGTAGGGGACTCCGAGGACATTACATTACATGATCGACGACCCCGGGGGTCCGGATGCAACGTCGTACATACCGCCACCGCCACCGTAAAACCGCCATCTGCCGCAGGATAATGTTACCATGCATGCCGCAAACCTGCAGCTGCTTGCTGATTCCCGAAACCCTTTCCTGCGTCCCCAGCCCAAACATGAAATCATTGCCTACGACATGCTGGATTCGGATAAACATCTGATAAATGTCGGATAAATGTCGGATAAATATCGGATAAATATCGGATAAAAATCGGATAAAAATCGGATAAATAAGTATATATAATGGTAATAAATGTCAGATAGTTATGTATAGTGCATAGACGTGTCTGTATGTCCTCCAGTGCCTCCAGTGCCAGCAGTAGTCCTACTCCAACATTATCCTGTGCACATTGGATGGGTTACATCCCACCAGCCCCAACTGATAGTACTTAAAATTGTCAGTATTGTGATGTGTGCGGGGGAACGAAACGCTGGCTGCAGTGCGCCCACCACCTTAGTCACTTACAAATGGGCTCGGAGAACAGGTCGCTGAGGGCGGCCAACAGGATCACAGCTACCACAGCGGACGAGCCACGGGTCGCAGTTGGGGCCAGGCGGGAACGTGCCATCGTCTCTGGCCTGCTTCTAGATCGGCGCAGGCTGTAGGGCGAGGGTGTGTGGCTGTTGTGCTAGACTGCTGGCCTATGCCGGCTGCGGGCAGAGCAGAGCTGGTGCTGGAACAGGACAGATTGATGCCCTCCGCTTTTACAAGGAGGATAGAGAGGCAGATATGGCTGGCGAGGCTAGCTGTGCCCGCCAGGCGAAGACTGGGAAATCATCTGAGAGTCTGCGGCTTGGATAATCGTGTGCTTAATTGTTTACCTGCGGCTCAAGTCCTTAATATAGTGACTCACTGCTGCCCGCGCCAAAGGCTCTCCGCATGGCGGGATAGGCGTCAGCGGGGGTTAGTTATCAACCACGGAAGGGTGTGTACGCTTTAATGACTTTTATGCCGCGGAAAGCAGATAGAGCATACGCCGGTGTATGTGCACGTCGTCGTCCAGTGTGGGCCTTCGTTGCCAGGACCCTATTTGTAGGCCGTGGGGACTAGGGACCCATACGCCACATCTCGCTACTCGCTGTATGCCGGGCCCAGATGCAGGAGGATAGCTTGCAGCAGCTTATGACTACTATTTTCGTATAATGCTTGTGGTGGTAGACAGCCAGCAGAGCGAGAAGTTGGCAGGTGCATGAGTCTGTTCATGGCGGCAGCGGCCTGGTGGGTGGGCGCACGGGGTAGACTGTTATGGGACGGTGCTCGCCTGTCTCTCGGCGGGCGGGAGGCAGGCAGGCAGACGGGAGGGTGGGCGGCCGCGGATGAGACAGGTCGGTACGTCGGACCGGTCAATGGACTGAAGGGAGGATAGATCTCTCAGCGGCAGCATGGGCTGTGGTGGATTTGTTGAATAGAAACCTAGCGCGGGGTAGTTGTTGTGTCAATCATGGTCTGTCGAGGGACTTGCCGCCAAAACTGCGGGTTGTATGTTACTAAAAAAGGCCCTATCTATCTGTAAAGGATCTCCCATGAATCTATGCAATGACTCACAATATGAAACCATTCAAAACTAAGACCCCCCAGATCCAGTGGCGCGCGCTGCAGCCACCCGGGGATCGTACCGCCGGGGTCAGCAGCAGTAGCAGTAATAGCAGAAGCAGCAGTAATAGCAGAAGCCAGCAGAAGCAGAAGCAGCAGTAGTAGTAATAGCAGAAGCAGAAGCAGCAGAAGCAGGGAAGAACCCCCGTCTCGCTGATATCATAGCTCATGCTTGTCATGAATGAGAGTGATTGGATGATGATGTCCGCACCCAAATAGTGATAGCCCTGTACGGTTCCTAGCAAGGCCTTGAGCCCCGCACCACGACTCGGACAGCACCACGCAACCTGACGAAAGACACTCCCTCGCCTTGCCGCACCACCGAGGGCTACCCTAGTCACAACCCACAAAATAAAACGGGCACATGATGTTGGAAAGTGACCGACACTCATATACCAGTGAATGGTGACAGCAGTAATAGGACGGGCAGGGGGGTCCAGGGCGCTTTGCTGATCCTAAGACATGATTGTGTATTGTGTATGTTTTGTTATCTGCTTAATCCATGGCAGATTCCCATTCTTCCTAAGGCATAGTTAGTAACCCACGAATTTGTATGGCGTCTTATCGTCATGGGCCTCAGCCAGGGCATAACGGTTAAGATCCTCCTCAAGGATGGGGGTGAGTAAGTGGTTTTGCAACAATTCCCTGTGCATTACGCTTCTGTTTGGTTAGCCTGCGGCACTCTTGCTCCCTTTTCTGGAACATTCACCCTGCATCGTGAACATCCGGCCGCCGCCAAGGCCTTCGGTCTAAAGCAGACTGCCGGCCACGTCGACAAAAGTCCAGGCGTGGTGGGTGCCATCAGGGGGGTTGTTGACATGGAGGGTGCTGCTGGCAGGGGCCATTACCACGGTGGTGGGTGTGAATGGGCCCGCTGCCACAGCAGGCGCCACAAACAGGGCACCCGCTGCAGTGTCACGACATCGTCAACAGGGTCACAACTGCGGCAGGCATGCCCAGTACAGCTGCAGTGCACTCTGGGAAAGGTTTTCACCCGTAAATTCATGTTTACCCGTAATCACGTGGTCTTCACATGTAATTACCGGCCAAGAAAATTTGTAAACATGCTTATTTTTAAGTTGCCAAAGCATTCCTTTTATAAGGAAGAACATAGGTGACATTTTGTTGGTTGCCCGTGCTGGAAGTCATCCACAGGTTACATTACCCGTAATCACAAGGTCTTGACCCGTAATCCCCCAAGCCGTAATGCACAGCACCCGTAAAATTTCACGGGCTTAATTGCGACGAAGACGTGTTACGCGTGTGTGTGTGTTACATGGATGGGGGTGCGTGACCCCATACCTGTAAGACTACCCATACGAGCCGAGGGCCCAAGGGTAATACTACAACGCCTAAAAGCCACGGAGGAAAGGAAAACACCGCACATCAGCCCAGACTAGCGTCTAAAGGGGGTAATTA